GTCTGGATTTTTGAGGTATTCATGAAATGCATGATTCGCGAGCCAAAGTGTATTGTTACAGATCAGTGCGCTGCCATGAAGCAAGCTATACCAACCGTCTTTACAGAAGCACATCACTGTTTGTGCATGTGGCACATCATGAAGAAATTTAACCAAAAGGTAATGAATCGCACATATAAATATAATGAATCCTCATTAGATAAATACTGAATCTTTCGTTATATATTTATCTTCTAGTTGGCAAAATGCATTTCGAAGATGGATGATTTCAAGAGGAAGATCAATGCACTGATTTGGAGTATAGATATAGATCCAGCAACATTTGAAGTCGGTTGGAAAGATGTTATGAAAGAATATAAGCTTGAAAGTAATGAATGGTTGTGTGAACTGTATAACATTCGGGAGTCATGGATTCCAGCCTATTATGCTGATGATCCAATGGCCGGTTTATTGCGGACTACATCAATATCAGAGAGTGAGAACAGTTTCTTTGACAAATTCAACCGTAGATCTGACACATTAACGGAATTTTATCTCCGATACGAGAGTGCTATGGAGAAGCAAAGGCATACAAACGCAAGATTAAACTATGAAGGAACGAAGTCGATGCCAAGAATGGACACTCCATTGTTATTGGAGAGGGATGCAGCAGAGTTGTACACTCGAACAATGTTTTATGAGGTACAGAGTGAGATAATATCATCCTATTATGATATGAGTATCAACAGTATATCAGAAGAAGATGGCGTGAAGATTTTTTCCATAAAGGACAAAAAGAGACATGGAAAAATATTTGAGGTAAAACTTAATAATGGATATTGAAACAATAGAAATTGAATCTGTTTTCAATGCACTGAATCGCGATTCAGTGATGTGAATCTCGATTCACAACACTGAATCGCGATTCATTGACCATTTAATGGGCTTGTCATTTTCTTTTTTTATTCCGTGTTAATATACATTGCTTTTTGAATTTTAGGTGAAACACTCTTATTTGAACAATGACGTGCAATGTACGTGTAGGCTGTTTGAGAAAATGGGTATAGTATGTAGACATGGTTTTTTTGCACTGAACCAAGCTGATGTAACAAAAATACCAAGACATCTTATTGTGAACCGATGGACAAAAGGTTCTGAGATGAGGCATTCATTACAGTTCAAGGAAATATCAGAACAGTGCAATGCAATTGAAGTTACAAATCGTAAGTTGAATGACATATGGTATGATTTCCAATCCTGTGTGAGTTTGGCAGGTCTAGATGGTGAGAGACTTGACTACTTGGAAGGGAAGTTGAAGGAGTTGAAGCACAGTTGTAGGCATATAAAATTGCTTATAGGTCCCTTAGCTCAGCTCGGCACGAACCGACAAACCAAC